TTTCTCGGTCATCTACTGAGGCAGAATATCGAGCTTTAGCCATAACTGCTGCTGAAATGGCTTGGATCCGACAACTTCTGTGTGATTTACAGGTTCCTTTATATGCTCCTCCAACGTTGTATTGTGATAATATTTCTGCAATAGCACTGTCTTCTAATCCAGTTTTTCACTCTCGGGTGAAACATATTGAGATTGATTATCATTTTGTTCGCGAAAAAGTAGTTCGAGGAGACTTGGCTGTTCATCATGTGTCTTCCAAGGAACAATTTACCAATATCCTTACCAAGGGTCTGTCTATATCTTTGTTTCGTCATCATTGTGCCAATCTCATGCTTGGTTCCTCCACCCATGTGATTGCGGAAGGATGTAAAGATATAGATAAAGAAGATCAATCCAATGGCCAAGAAGATGCCATCTGTCAAGAGATTAAGTGATATGGTTGTTAGGTTGTTAAGGATTTGTTACTTGCTGTACAAGTAGTGAAAAGTGTATAAATATGAACCTTTTGTATTCATTCTGTAAGGAAGTAAAAGCAATATAACAAACAGTGTATTTCTCTCTAATTCTCTTTGATCTCTCTCTTTCTACATTCTGTGTCTACAATCTTTCCCTCTCTAAACAACATTGATAACCTTTAAGCTCAAGATAGTTAATTCAACAAACTTGAGCTGTGGCCATTTCCAACATCCATGCTAATATTGACACTCTTAGAATTAAACTATGAGACATGATTTTACTTATGTTTTTCAACCCACTTTTGTAAATATATATCAAACTTAAAGAACAGAGAAGAAGCTAAACGCAAATATTCTATGTGTTTACTCTTCCTCAATTTGGAGTGCTGCCTTGAGATTCCAAGTATGATAGTGGAAATGAACACAATAAAGCAATAAGATAAAAAGGCGGTAAATTAACCAAGATAGTGAAGAACATGAATAATTAAAATTACAATTGGGAAAAATCGAACCTGTATGACCACGCTAGTGTTTGACAAACTCATATTGTTCCTTCAAACATGCATAGAAGCGTCTTTAGCCTTGCAAATACATCACAGTAGCATATTATTGCCCAAATTTCTATCCCTAATGAAAAAACTTGTGTCAATAAAATTAATAAACCAAGAAAAAAGGATAAATGAATGAAAATTTAATAAGAGAAACCCATCAAATGTCAGTCTCTCCTCTCTTTTTGTGCAAAACCCTATTGATTTTAATACTTTATAAGTAATCGTGGCCTATAGTTATAAGAAAATTTGCTGGAAAAGGAAAAAGAATAGCAAAAAAAAAAAAAGAGAGAGAGAGAAGAAAACCCACCTACACTTGAAGTACCAAATGTTTTCTTTTGCCCGTTCAGGTTTCGTGTTACTTTTCCTCAACTCAAACCTACACGTGAACATCCAGTTTCTAGGGTTTTCAATCTCCGATCAGCACCAATCCCCATATCCATGGTGATGGCTTCAATGTATTTTTGTTGTTAAAATTAATCACCAATGTCACTAACGTTTGGATAAGAGAATGCAAACTCTTTGTGGAAAACAATAATGAATGCATTAATCACTGTTGATGAAATACATATATCCAACATTGAAGAGTAAAAATAAACAGTCAAACTAAAACAACAATTGTAGAGAATGTATATATCAAAATGCAAACAGAAACATGTGCAAATAAGAAAACTAAAGAGGAAGCAAGGAGTAGCTTTAAATAATAAATCGCAACCCTCTGGAATTCATCATCCATTCCATCATCCCAAATTGCACACTTTGAACAAAGATTGAAACTGTAGCCCACACAACTGGTACTTAGTGCCCATACCCTCCAATCTTTAAATTGGTACTTAGTATTTCTCCAATTTCCTTTGTTACTATTTTATATACATAGATAGATAGATAGATTAGAGATTTGGATGAAGTAATTGTAAATTAATGGAAACTTTAAATTACAAAATTTAAATTTCCATAATTTAAAATCCCGACAATTACAAATTTTAGGGTTTGGAAATTGTGTGTGTAGAATTCTAAGATGACCGGAGATAAGAAATTTACAAACTCCGTACGACAAATTACCTCTCAAACTTGCAACCCCACACTCTGTAACAATGTCTCATCATTATGTGTTGCCTTCATACGAAGGATTCATTCGAATTCCACTACACCTGCCTGCACTTTCTGGACAAAATTTACCTTTGCTCGTACTGCTAAAGTGTCCCGCATGAAGCGGAGAGGTGCACGTATGCAAGAGGAGAGGCGGATGGACGAAGGGATCCTAGGAGGATCCTTGCGGGATCCTTCAATCACATCCATTTATCATACATCGTGCGATCAAAAATCATTGTAAATTTTCTTATTTAAAATTGAATATAAACAGTATCTGACAAAAACTGACTTCACGATGTCCAATGAACGGATATGATTGGAGGATCCCCGGGATCCTCACAAAGAGAATCCGGCGAGAATCCTCTCTCGAAGGGATCACAATAGTCCTAGGCCCACTTTACTTTTTTTTTAATATAAATTATATATACTAAAGCCCTACGTCAAAACACTGTTCATAAACAGAGTGTGTTGATGCACAAAACCAGAGGGGTCTTGGAACAACGTAAATTCGACCGTGAATCTACAAGAAAGTAAATAACACAAGATGTATCGTGGTTCACCCCAAGGTTTGGGCTACGTCCACACTGATATTGTATTTCTGAGGGGGAGAGAGCTCTGAATATGAGAGTGAGAGCTTTGAGAGAGCTTAGAGCTTAGGGGATGTAAGGAGGCTTCGAGTTTGTGAGGGTGAGGAGGCCCTTTTATAGAATAAGGGCTCCTCCCCTTTTTACATATTTGCCCCTCCATTTATTACATAATTACATTTGAGTCTCCCAAGTATTTATACGAAGTCTAAATATGGAGGCCCTAAGTATGGTATAAACAGTAGTCCCCTATGTCTTCAATCAAGAGATTCTTTTGGCTGAAGACTTGAAATTCAGTCCATGTGTGGGTTGAAGTAACTAGATGTCGCCTTGAACTGATACCGGAAATGAGGCGGTGCTCAAAGTGAAATGATGCTCAACTAGAACTAGCTTATGTTACGATGATGCTCTGCTTGTGGCTTATATTGCCTTGGTTGGCTCGGCTTGTGGCGTTTGAAGGTGAGGGAGTCCCTTTTATAGAATAAGGGCTCGCTCCTCAATACATAAATATGGGCTAAAGTTGATGCTCGAGGCAAGACGGTTGCTCAGTAGGCAACGATACACTCTAATGATGGTGAGGGAGTCCCTTTTATAGAATAAGGGTTCGCTCCTCAATACATGAATAATGGGCTTAAGTTGATGCTCTCTAATGATGGTGAGGGAGTCCCTTTTATAAAATAAGGGCTCGCTCCTCAATACATAAATAACGGGCTAAGTCCCCCAAGTATTTTTCATGAGGCCCAGTTGAGGCCAATATATGGTACATAATGTAGTCCCCTAAGTCTTCAGTCAATAGAGTCCGTTGGCTGGAGACTTCAAATTGAATCCATGTATGGGCCGAAGTGGCGGTTGTTCGGAGGCGGTATTTGTATACCCTGCACTGAAGCTTTGTAGGTGAAGCTTTGCAAGTGAAGTTTTGAAGCTAGAGCTCTGTAATTGAAGCTTTTTGAAGCTAGAGCTCTGTAAATGAAGCTTTTGAAGCTAAAGCTCTGTAATTGAAGCTTTTTAAAGCTAGAGCTCTGTAAATGAAGCTTTTTGAAGCTAGAGCTCTGTAAATGAAGTTTTTGAAGCTAGAGCTCTTTAATTGAAGCTTTTTAAAGCTAAAGCTCTGTAAATGAGACTTTTTGAAGCTGATTGACATGAGTGATGCTCATGAATGTTTATGTTGATTGACATGAGTGATGCTCATGGATGTTGACATGAGTGATACTCATGAATGTTGACATGAGTGATGCTCATGAATGTTTATGTATCATTGATATGAGTAATGCTCATGAATGTTTATGTATGATTGACATGAGTAATGCTCATTTATAATTTGAAGTACTGGGCGTACTTTTGATCACCTGGTTGGTGGTAATAGCGGCAGGTTGTCGAATAATTTTGGAGTACTGGGCGTACTTTTGATCACCTGGTTGGTGGTAATAATTTTGGAGTACTGGACGTACTTTTGATAACCTGGTTGGCAATAATAGCGGCTGGGTGCCGAATAATTTTTTTATGATACTGGACGTACTTTGGTTCACCTGGTTGGTTCTATTTTGGGCTTATGGACCTTCGCCCTCCACACAACATTCCAGCCCATTTATTTTGGGCTTTGCCCTTTTTTTTTTTTTTTTTTTACCCTCTGATGGGGTTTATACAGATGTCTCCGAAAGATAAGAAAAATAATTTACATCATTCAGAAATAAGAAAAGTAAATCACATCATTCTGGTGGGGTGTTTATTCCTTACTTTTGCTTTCTTTTTTGCTTTCTATTTTCTTTTCTGCTTTTGTTTTTGTTTTCGTTTTCTCTTTTCTTTTCTGCTTTTGTTTCTTTTCCTATAGCTTTACTGGTGGTCTCCCCGCTCCTTGCTTTTGCTTTCTGTATTCCTTTTGCAGATGGTAGACAAGGAAATCATGTGGAGTGTCTCTTTTCCCTTTCTGCTTTTGTTTCTCACTGCTTTTACCTCTCTTTTCACTTTCCTCTCTTTATGTCTCTAAGCTGCCATGCATGTGCACCCTGTACTAAAGTAGGTATTGGAAAAGAAACACTGACATCCATGGGGAACGCCGGACCGAGACATTGTTATCGCCGAGCTATCACCCATGGCTTCTTTCTCACTGTCCCTGCACTCCACACCAAATCCTAGCCGACCCACTTCTTCAATCTCTCCCATTTCATGCTAGTTGCAGACCATATCATGATGATGACATATTCCGCATAGGCATCTGTAAGAAACTCATGAAGAAAAGAACACAGTCACCAGTCTCACCACGCGCACTGTTCGACGTACGAGCTTTGCCACATTCAATATCTTGCCAAGATTTTGACGTTGCTTCACTTTCCAAAGCCAGAAGAAGCACCACGATCGAAATCATATAGAGATTTGCGAGATCGGCGAAGATTCTCTAACGACGGGAGCTCTTCACCCTTTCGGTCACCGAGAAGGTGAAGAACGAAGGTGAGATGAAGGCGGCGCTGGCGAAGGCGTTTGATCTCAGCAGAGATGGAGTTGCAGAGGTCCAAGAACTTGACACTGTGGTCCAAATACCAAGTAAGCGAATCATCTAGAGGCGGCGCGACCTTGAGATTAGAGATGAGGTTTCTCACTTCGGAGTGAGTCAAGGCAACAAAATCAACGGCCTTGGAGAGCCATGACAAGCTGATGAACGGCGGACCGAGAGATTTCAAGTGGTGGAGCACAGCGTCATCGAATGAGCTAGAGATGAGGTCCAAATTGGACGGAATGGAATGTTTCTTAGCACCTCGGAAGGGAAGGAGTGACGGGAAGTTGGAGATTTCCGTTAGGTACATGGTCAGATATAAGAGTGTTTTGGGGAAAGATTGAAACTTTCCGGGGAAAAATATATTTTTCGGGAAAATGTTCCCAAATGTCGAGCCGACTGAAAGATAGGCATAAACGGGCGGTGTATATATATATATAATATTGGACGGGGAGTACGGAGAAAGAGAGAGGAAGTTTGAAGAGGCTGAAGGAATTGGCGTGCGTCTGATTTTTCTCTGAATCTCAACGATGGAATGCTGCTGAGCTTGGGGGATGTCATGGCAGGAGAGATTGGTATCTTTTGAGTGGGAAATGTAGATAGAAAGGAGGAAGAGAAGACGTCTATATCTGGTATCTTTGATCTTCACAACAAAACCCAACAGTTGGATTTTGCTCAGAAATGGTAGATCCGTAAGTCGGAATAAATAAAGGGTGTTAGGAGCTTGGGATGCTAGAAGTAGTAGCTAGTCGATTGGGTTTTGCAGATTCACGGCGGAGGTGAAAAAAATGAAAGAGAACCGACACATATTTTCGTATCGATTCTCATAAACGACGCCAAATATTGATGCACAAAACCGGAGGGGTCTTAGAACAACGTAAATCCAACCGTGAATCTGCAAGAAAGTAAATAACACAAGATGTATCGTGGTTCACCCCAAGGTTTGGGCTACGTCCACACTGATATTGTATTTCTGAGGGAGAGAGAGCTCTGAATATGAGAGTGAGAGCTTTGAGAGAGCTTAGAGCTTAGGGGATGTGAGGAGGCTTTAGGTTTGTGAGGGTGAGGAGGTCCTTTTATAGAATAAGGGCTCTTCCCCTTTACATATTTGCCCCTCCATTTATTACATAATTACATTTGAGTCCCCCGAGTATTTATACGAGGTCTAAATACGGAGGCCCTAAGTATGGTATAAACATAGTGAATTGGTGAAAATAACCTTACTTTACTAAACACTTCACTTCTTATTTTCCTTATTTGCACAGTTAAATGACGAAAAAAACCTTGGCTCTTTACTTGCTTTTTCAACTCTTTCAATCAGAGTCATTGAAAGGACTCTAACACTTCACCCAGCTCACCGCCTAGCTTTTCCACCGTTTCACCCAGAACATCGCCACCACTGATTCATCCAAATCCATGAATTCGCAAAATTGCACCGTATAACTAGTTTACAATGCAGAGCTCTCTTCGTCCACCACAACTCATCGGTCCACCTCAACGCCGCGTGCGCAACAACTAGCACAATCCCAACCAACAGTGGCACCCAAACATTCATCGTCACCTGGGAAGAACAGCAGTATAACCCATTTTGTTTAAGGAGTTTTAACAAAAAGGGTCTAGCACTATTCATTCTTAATTAAAAAGGACATTTTGTGTATGAAAAGTCCATAATGGATCAATCTCTTTTCTTTATTTACTCTTATGTCATTATTTCATTATTGTTGTAAGGTCCACAATGATGTTGACATTTCTGTCTGGAAATACATTATTTTACATGATGCTATTCAACTTATGCTAATTTGTTGATAGCTCTTTCATGCTTCCATCATGTTGTCGATGTTATGCAGCTCTTATTCTGTCAAATTGTTCCAGTACTGTTCATCACCTTCTACTAGCTCTGCATCTCTTTCTCTATCTTCTTTTACCTTGTAATACATATCTTCTGTTTCTTCTTTGAAATTTTGAGGCTTCTAGTATGGCTGGTGACTGGATTTTGACTTGCTATAAATATACATTTCTTATTCTTCTACTACTAATAATATATCATACCTAAAATCTTCAAACTCATCTAAGGCTAACATTTGGATCCCTCAAAATATTAAATATTTTTGTATGACGGAGTCCACCTGTGTGGGGAGATAGATGATAGTCTAAAGGACTTTTCATTAACCATGGCTATGTGCCTAGCTTTCTCTTTATGCATATTTACATACCAATCTGGAAGACTACTAATAAAACTTATGCAAATTTCTTTTCACTGTTCTATATAATCTTCTGCTACTTTTATAAGCTTTTCAGAAAATGATTCTAGTTGGAAAATATGATTAATAAAGATTTTATCAAGATAGCCAAACTCTAATAGTAAGATTTTATCAAAATGATTCTACTTCTACTACATTATGCTTTTTATGATACTTATAACTAAAATGCCATGGTTTAAAATTCCTCATGTTAATCCTGACTACAATTATGCTAACCTCTAGTTTACAAATACAACTCTTTGTACTATCACAAAGATATGTAGATATATCTTTGTAATAATATTCATCCCTGGTTTTGGATCAAAGATGGACTGATTCAAAGCACATTGTAATTGTAATTGTAACTCTTTTATGGAATGTGATGCTCTGCTCAGAATCTCATTTTGCATATCTGGTAGCATTATTCTTAATTTTGCTTTTGAAATTTCTTCTAATAGGATATCATCTATTATTAAGTCTAAAGATACATTCCTAAGAAAACTTTCATATTTTTCTTGTTTTTCTTTGTCACTCAGATACTGATGCTGCTCATTATTTTGATACTGCTTCATTCCAATGTCTTCTTCTAAGAGCTCAATCTTAATCTCTTATATGGGCTCATTAGCCTCTTGTTCTATGGATTCAATAACCTCTTTTTCAATAACTTCTTTTTCTTTATACTTATGCTAATCAGTTTCCCAACCTATTTTCAATACTCTTTTCAAAGTGTCACTTGTTTTTAGCTGCATTATAAGAGATTGGAATTCTTGGTTCATTTTGGTAAACTTACTAAGTAATGACTTATGGTCTCTAGAAATGACTTGAAGGTTGTGCTCAAGAGAATGAATATGATGTTGAAATTGATGGAAATTAAAATTAAAACTATAAAACTCTTGTTCTAAAGCTCTAATTAGTTTTTCATGACCTAACTTTATGCTTGGTTATTTGATTTAGATATTTCAAAAATTATCTAAGAGAACTTTTTGCCTATTAGAGAGTTTTAATACCTTTGGCCTATACCATAGAGTTTGATTTCTGATTCCTTCAACAAAAATGGCATTAAAGTTAAAAGTGGGTACTGGTGGTGATGCAGGTCTGCTTATGCTATTTTGGAATCCATTGAATGATAGAGGTTTGTGGTGCATCACTATGTTATTGAAATGTGCTCTTCTGCCTTGCGGTCTTGTGGTATTTGAGGATGATGATCCACAATATTCAATTCATGTTCAATGAATTAATCTTGATAAGATATCAGCTAATATATTGTCACTACCTTTTATATATTCAAAAATTGGTTTAAAACCATTTCCTGTAATTGAATCAATAAAATTAACCCATCTTCGGGCTGCCTGTTTATTGGCATGTATCTTGTTATAATGAAAAACTATATTTTGACAATCTGTTCTAGTCGTAAATACTTCATCGTGTAAAAATAAAGAAAATGCCTCAAGTGAGTTAATTATTCCTAAAATATTTAAATCTGTTGATGGTAATCTTTATTGTACATCGCTAAATTTTCCTGATGCATATCTACAAACTTATTCGTCAGACTTTGGTGACTCCTTATGCTTTTTCTGGTATATTATACATGCCAATCCTAATGATAAAGCATTTGTTTCAACTATTTTGTAACTATCATCTAATGGTAATGTTAATGGCTTGAGTTGAGTAATTTTTTCCTTTATATTTTGAACTAATTTAATATCTTCACTATTAAAATATTTTTGTCCTGTTTTGCTAGTTTTACTATATAATACTGCTATTTTTCTTCTTAAATCAAGGATAAAATTTCTTGCATAATTTAACAATCCTAAAAAAGTTTGTAACTATTTTTTATCTTCTAACTTATCTGGAAATTCTAAGACTTTTTTAGCTATATGATCTTGTAATTGTATTGTACCTAACTTGATATACATTCCTAAAAATTCTATATCTTGTTTTTCTAATGCTATTTTATTTTTGCTAATCACAATTCCATTATTGATAAATTCTTGTAAAACTATCTCTAAGTGTTTCCTATGTTCATTTCTATTTTTACTATGTACTAAAATATCATCTACATAAACACTATAAAAATTATCATATTTCTTGAAGATTTGGTCCATCTTTCTTTGAAAGATCGATGGAGCATTTTTAAGTCCAAATGGCATAATAAGTCACTCAAAATGTCCTTCTGGACAAGTAAAAGTTGTCCACTCAATTGATTCTTTTGCTAATCGTATTTGCCAAAATCCTGATTTACAATCAAATTTGCTAAAATATTTAGTCTCTTGAATTTTATTTATAAGGTCATCCTTATTTGATAACTTATAACTATCTTTATATGTATTATTATTTAATCTCTTGTAATTATAAACTATTCTAGCCTTATCTCTCTTTAGTTCTGAATGTTTTATCATAATAAATGTTGATGATCCATGTCTAGGCTTAGAGGGTCTAATTACTTTTAAATTTAACAACTCTTTTATTTGCTGCTCAAACTCTTGTTTATCTATTATATTATAAGGCATATCAACTGTCATTATGGTTAAATCTGGACTAATTATATCTAATTTTGCAAATATTTTATTTTTACTCCAATGTAACTGTGAGACTTTTCCTATAATCCTAGTTTGTTCTGCTAATTGTGATAATTGTTCTAAACTCTTTGGTCTATCTAACTGTAATATTTCTATACGGTTTTCTTCTTCTAAAATCGGATATTCATGTTCAAATATTTATTCATCAAACTCTTCTATATTATTATGCTAATAATTTTCTTTTAAGTTTTCTAAATAATAACTATCTTGACTACTGGATTCTTCAATACTTATACTTTCGTATGTTTCTACAGTATTACTTTGATCGGTTATTGTGATGCCTCTTTTGAAAAATGTTATCTTAGGATTCATAAATAAAAAACCTTGGAAACTTTTAAAAAAAATTAAACCTAAAATGAATGGGTATGATCCTACTAGTGAAACAAATGTTAATGATAAATTAAATTATTTTTTTTCTACTTTAATAGACTCATTATTAATGCAATGTATTAAATAAATTGGTCTCTCATCAAAATGTGTTATTCTTACTG